GTTGCGCAGCCATTGGTACCTGTATTGGGGAAACATAGCATACAAGCAAGAAGCTTACAGCCTCAGTGGCGAAAATTTTTTCATGTCAGAGACCGAGAACTCTTGCAGTCGTTTATGTCATCCCTTCTTCTCCAGACAGAAGATACCAAAAAGTTTCAATCAAAGATCTCTTCATCTTATTGATAAACTCACTAATAAGCCAAAATGTCTGTCAACGTCAACCGCAGCGTTTCAGACCAGTTCTATCGCTACAAGATGCCCCGTCTGATTGCCAAGGTAATACTGGTCTTCATTTCAAGATGTCAGTCCATACTCTGGGTGTCAGAGATTACATTTCATAGGGAAACAATACAAAATTAAAATTCTTATTTTCTCAGGTTGAGGGCAAAGGAAATGGAATCAAGACAGTTATAGTCAACATGGTTGACGTTGCAAAGGCGCTTAATCGGCCTCCAACGTGTAAGTAAGCTTGGAGAAGTCTGAATTGGTATTTCATGGGTGTAATCTCAGTCTAACGCTTATTATAATAGATTCTGACTTGCATCTATTATAAGGGCTTGCGGAAGGAACCCTGGACTTTAAACCAGTTTATTGGTTACCATAATTGCTTCGAACTGCCTCCAGGGCATACTTCATTACCATAAAAATTAAAAGTTCTTTTTAATTTTATTTTTATCAGTACTTATTCTATCATTTATTTTTTTCGTGTTTGAGGTAGTCTTAACTATATAATTCGAGCTGGCCTTGAGCTCACTTTGTAGCCAAGGTTGGTCTTGAACTTGCTCCTGCTTCAGCCAGTGTTCAGATTACAGGCTGCCGCCGTGCCCAGCCTTGTCATATTTATTGGTTACATCATCATAGGTAATTTGTGCCTGTACATAACACATCTCGATTTTTGCATTCCCTTTTACTCCCTTTGAACCCTTCTTCCCTTCATTTCCACAACCTTTTTTGGTGCCTGCATTGAGCCCAGAACCTTGTGTTTGCCAGGCAGGCGCTTGTGCCACTGTACACAAGCTTTGTTTCTATTTTTTTCTTTTTTGTTGTTGTTGTTTTTACCTTTGCCCTTCTTCCTTGTTCCCTTTCCCATTTGAACATGTTCTTCCCGTGACCCAACACCTATTCTCCTTTGTGCTTTTCATTTACCATTTGGGCTTCTAGCAAGAGAATAGTTCCATTATTTAGTATATATGTGTATGTGTACTTTTTTATTTTTAGTACAGGGTCTCACTACACAGATTGGACTCATAGTGATCCTCCTGTTTTCAGCCTCAAGTGCTGGGATTACAGGTGTCCCCCACCATGCCTTCTCAGTGTGCTCCAGGGATGGGGCTGGCACAACTTGTGGGATTTATTTGTAATCTGGACAGAGATCAAACCCTAGTCCCTGCGTGTGCTTAAGCAGGCACTTAGTCTGCTGAGCTATCTGGCTGGCCCAAGCTCCATAATCTTAAAACAGGGAGGAAACATAGATGGTAACCAGAGATTAGTTAGCTGAAGTAAACAAAATTTCTTTTAATAGATCCCACCAAATACTTTGGTTGTGAGCTGGGAGCACAGACCCAGTTTGATGTAAAGAATGACCGGTACATTGTCAATGGATCTCATGAGGCGAATAAGCTGCAAGACATGTTGGATGGATTCATTAAAAAATTTGTTCTCTGTCCTGAGTGTGAGAATCCTGAAACAGATCTGCATGTGAATCCGAAGAAACAAACCATAGGTAATTCTTGTAAAGCCTGCGGCTATCGAGGCATGCTTGACACACATCATAAACTCTGCACATTCATTCTCAAAAACCCAC